AATGAATAAATAATTGGCTGATAACCAAGTTTTTCTGTGAGATGGGTTAGTATACAGATACATCCCTACAAAATATTAGATTGATTCAGTTGATACCGACTTGGAAAATTTAAATAATATTTTTTAATAGAAAAGTAAGCAAAACATTTGACATTTTTGAACCAAATTTGGATGATCTGTTATTCAGACAATAATTGATTTGGTCTAACAAAATTTAGTAGGACCACTTCGGCTCCTCCCGCACACCAAGTTTTAAGTTTCTACTTCTAATGATACCTTGGTCCTGGCCGCCAGTGGCCGGATACCCAATTCTCTCTGAAAATTGAATTCAATGAAAACCAAAGTTTGAGAGGCTATAGCTCGTTCTTTGCAGGGACTAGCAAAGTTGAATGTTACCCACAACTAGCAACCCCCAACTAATAAAATAAAAAAATAAAAATGACCGAAGCAGGCATAATGCAAACCGGAAAAATATTTTAAAAACATTATCAAACGGCTCACTGCACATTTGACAAACAGGCGATACTGTATCCATCTGTGTCTCAACATGGGAGTAATTCCATATGAAATTTAGTGGATACTGGATGAATGTCATTGTAGGTCTAAGGTAGAAATATCATAAATCTCCAATCCCTAATCAGAAATCTAAATCCCTAATTGGAGTTCCTCATATATAGACACAGGGGAATCAAATCACTAAAATGTGTACGAAAATGGATTCAGCTACCCCGAAAACATAACTGACATAGCGGTGTCACTAATCACAAAAATGTGTGTAGACATGAATTCAGTTACACCGAAAACGCATATTTTGATACCAAACTAGGTCATATTATGATAATTGGGTGGAAATTTGAATTTACTAGCCAAAACGGACGGCCAATTTGGATTTTGGCCAATTTGACCCATTTGGACACGGATTTCGAACTACCCGCACTTATGCTATCTTGTCGGACAAATATGTATGGACATCTTTACAATTTTAATATATTTCATTCAGTCATTAGAAAGGATGATTTGGACTTATCAGAGAAACATTGGGGCTTAACGGACATTGGACCTAAACTTTGTCATTTTGGGACTAACATATTGTGACGCATATGTATGGAAATCTGTTCAAAATTGATATATACCATTCAGTTGTTATCAAGGATGATTTTGACAGCAATGAGGTTTAAGGTAAACTCAACACAAACTAAATCATTTTGGGACTAACGTGGAACAATTTTATTGCAATATTTCGCTTGCGAGAGAAGAGAAAATCCATAAGGCTGGACAGACAACACTACACCATGTCACGTACAAGGTCAGGGTAGGATGGAAACCACGCGCATGGGTTAGATCACTTTTGACTTACCATGGGACAGGTTCCATGAATGTCCAATGCAATTTACGCATAATAAATCTTATATGAATATGATATAGTAATGTGTTAGAGTGGTTTTATCTATTTACAATGCTAATTTAATCTTAGATAATACATGTATGTCACAAATCACTATATCCATAAAAGGTTTTGTTTATAAAATCTCTTTTTAAAGGTATCCAGTGAGTTCGAGTTCATTCTGCTCACTGGTGTTTCATTTCACCTTTGACCCGGAGGTTTCTTGGGTTTGTAACATCACCATGGTCACTTTTAGATAGAATCTTGTAGTGTGAGGTTAGATACTTCATCTAATCTTGGTATAAATTTTATACTTAAAGTATAAAGTAATTATTAGTATATCGGTTGTTTATTTCATCAACTCTGTGTGTGTGTGTGTGTGTGCTAGTACTTGTATTTGTATTTGTATCCAAATATTTGAAACTTGCAGTTTAAAGGTATGTGTTACTATTAGTTTCATATATATATTACATTGTGTAAATGATTTTAGTTTAAAGTGACGGCCATGTTGGTTTCTAGGGAAATTGGAATTTAAAGTTATGTTAATTTAATTTATTGGTTTATTCTAAACTTACATTTTATACATAATTCAACTATTTAAAGTATTTCACTTTAAATATACATTTCATACATCATACATTCATCTTAACACACCTAATTTAAAAAATTGGAAAAATTCAACTAAATGATTTGAAAAGCCTAACGTATCGGGACTTGGATTTAAAAATATTTTCGAACCCTCTGAACAAGTAAAATAGGATTTAATGGATAATTTACACAACAGGTAGGATACCTAAACATCTAATACTTAGAATAAGGCTATTATTTATTTTCTGGAGCTGTCAAGCCAGCAAGAGTGTTATTGTCCCTTTAAGTAGAAATACCGATCGTGGTTCCGGCTCAAGAACATTCATGCTACGTAATGACGAGAACGTCCGACATGATCTTCATGCTGCCAATCCACAAAGTTATTGGATTACTCCAAAAACAAATTAATGACACCTCGCTCATTACACTGTGCTACGGAATAACATCGTGACACGGACAGAAGGGTAAAGTGAAATAAAACAAAAATATGTAATATTCTAATATTTTTTTTTGCCTTGTCCGGAAATAAAGTGGCCGAAATCCGATGACATTTTGGTTTGGAGCCACTCTTTGTGCGAAATATTTCGGGCATCGTCCGGTGTTTATCGGGAATCGAAATTTGATTAAATTGACTAATACGCTTATTGGATTCTATTATATTAGCATTCGACTCTACTCCTGAGGGTGTCAGAGGCTTATCAATTTCGCGTTTAAAGAAGGGTTTAGCCATGTTTAACCTCGTGGTAGAAAGGACACTAAATACAGATTTCCTTATTTTTACAGCACTTTGAACCCCATGGGTGATTGGGGTAACCTATAAATTCAAAGTTTAATATTTAAAAGAGGCGAACATAGTGTTAGGATCAAGGGAAGCCATCTTGCATAATTTTTCCTGTTTTTCTTGTTTCCTTTTATATAACGTACATGTTGTATATACTGATTACATTTATCAAACTTTTAGTGTCAAGTATGTTACAATCAATGATTAAATTACCCATGTGGTAATTTAGCATGATATATGATAACCAGAACATGTTTCGGGGCGGCCATATATCGATGGTGTGATTTCGAAAGGACGCCAGGGTAGCATCACCCCGATTCTGGATCCATTCATATTACATTCATATTGACTCTTTATTCCAAAAACAAATTTCATATCTTCAATTCTCATTTAAATATACTTAGTCATATTATAATATAAACTTACTGTCATAATCAATGAGGCTGACAGTGTAAGTAGAGCTGTCTCTGCCGTGGTGACATGTCCACAACCCTTCGAATTCGTTCACGTACATATACATTCTAACAGTTGATATTCCAGCTGTTGTGTTGACATCATAGGTAGGACGATTGTAGTATGATGCAGTTGTATTTATAAAACACAGACCAGCACTATATGGTGATGCACAAGAGAAATAAGTTTTTCCTTTATAGATCCATTTAACTTCATCAGTTATTGTACCAATATGACACGTTAGTGTAAAATAACCATGATATACCGCTTTCTCCGGTTCGCTGGTTATAGTTATTTCACCTAAAAAACAAATATTAACAATTATTATCTGCCGAATGTTGTCCGTTTAATATTTCTTTATCTTATGATTTTTTTAAATTTACTAATTCGGATTATATATATAGCTTAATACAGACACATTTTCTTGTTTTAAAAATCGCCATCGGGTTAGGGACGTATATCATCAAGTACTTCAAATAACAAAAACAATCCAAAATTTCAAAACCTTATTAACATTTCTAAGTGTTGTAAATATTTGTTGTATGGCGAACGTTCAGTACCTGTATTCCAGACAGGCTGTCTAATGTGATCTGCGTATATATTTGAAACGTGTTTGATCCTGGAAGCATTAATAAAATTTGTGTTTGTATATGAAGTGTAACAAAAATTGGGTTAGTCTGCAACAGCAACAACTTGCGAGCAAAGCAAAGTTAAGAGTATCGTTGAATTTAACATATAGCCGAAAGAAACATTTACTGTAATATGGGGTATTCTCTTATAAAACGGAAAGGGGTAATGTCAGATTTTATGATCGTGGAGTGCTTCCTTATTGATGTCAGCCCCCTACATTATGTGACTTAAAATACGACTTATATTCCCTCTTGCCATTTTAATTTATTTCAAAATATCGACTCTTTATCGGTAAAAGAAAGTGACAAATGTAAACTAGACCTAGTTAGCCTTTCGATGGTCAATCTTGGGATATATTGGGACTATATTATTCGTTTCAAGCCGAACAAACTTACCATACATTCTGGATAATTAGCCAAAGTTAACTTGACGTTATATTAAAACTACACAGATGAAGTTGAACGAATATGTAAGACGGCACAAGTGTAAGCTGTAAATTCCGTGAGTTTGAAACTGTTAGCCACACATGATACACAAATCATTTTCTACGTAATACCGTAAAAATGGGCACAAATGATTTATACCGGTTAAAGTAGCTAAGTCTCTAACTCAATACATCCAAATTCTTCGACATTGAAGATACAAATTATTTGTCTATTTAAATCAACATTGATGTTGTGATCTTACCGGAAAAGGGTGGGCTTCTGATATCGAATATTTAAGACAAAATAAACATTTTACCATTGGTACACGAATCGTGTACCATAATGCGTTTCAGCGTCATTTGTAACAAGGTACTCGAAGAACGAGGCTAGACATATTCCATAAGTCATGTCAAACGGTCACGCTATATTCTTATTTAGAAGCATGCGCAATAAATAATTTCGGTGTAGACTGGTATAACCAGACTCTGGAAATAGCCATTCGATTGAGATTTCTGTCGGATTTGGCCGAACTTAACTGATTAGAAATTACAGTAAAAACAGAAATGATTGAATGTAAATCAGTTTATATACATTCATATTACATTATTATATGCGTTGTGACGCATTTGTGTCAATTTCTAGGTCCCAAATATTAGCGACTTAGCTTCTTTAACATTTCCTAATATTGGACTTTATTGCCCTTGAAATTCCACAGCTCGTTTTGTAAACTGATACTAACCTTGCGTACCCAATACCAATATTGATGTTACTGTCACACAGACAACTATCAGTGCTGTCATCTTGGATATCATTCTTCTGACTATTCAAAAACAGGTCAACAGTAACGCTGGTGTCTTCTGCCTTAATCTCAAAGTAAAAGGATGACACCCATTAATTAGTAATTACGCGCATTTTCTTTTATTTTTTTGCCTTGGGATATAAGCATTTGATTTCTCAATGTCTTTTAAAACGTTCCTTTGATTCTAATTAAGTGCGAATGATAAACTCCGTCAAACGTCCGGCAACCTCATGAAACTCTACACCAAATTTGAATGTTCTACCGGAGTTGGAAACATAGTTATTGTGTTCCAAAATGCGTGATTTAAAAAGCATTGACCAATCCAATTGCTTACCATTCTGTTTAATCTTAGCACGGTTATTTCTGAAAATTGGTTGCAAGGTATTAATGTACTGAAACTATACACCAACGTCATTGTGTTCCAGTGCATGAATAAAGCAAATTGCTTATCTCTGTTACTCATAGCAGATCACATTCATCACCACTCCCAGTCTAGATATACACGTAATCTTTAAGTGGCATGTAGCGATTGGGAAACACATTAACAGAACACAGTTTTTATGGGAAACAATCACTGGTTTATTCTAAAAGCACGACGTTTCGACAAGTATCCTCTTGTGCTTGATAACGATAAGAGGATACTTGTCGAAACGTCGTGCTTTTAGAATAAACCAGTGATTGTTTCCCATAAAAACTGTGTTCTGTTAGATATACACGTACTTAACATTTACACCAAGATTAATAATTATATCTCAATCAGAAACAGAGTCAATGCGTTCCAAGTCCCAAATATTGGCGATTTAGCTCCTTTAAGGTTTTAATTGCATACTGAATCTCAATATGTACTGACTCGACGGAAGCATCAAACGTCTATTGATCATATAATGATTAATACTTTTGGTTCCTAAAGAAAGCTTTCCAAGTGGCGGCAATGGTGCGAAATATGAATTCCACAACTGCAAAATATTCTATGACGCTAACTGCCCCCCCCCCCTTAAAATGGTTCTCATAATTAGTAGTCCGATAAGAGCAGAAAGATAAGACATTAAACGTCGTTTCATTTGATCTTTCGCTCTAAACACCGACAGGATGCTTCTACTGGTAGCAAGGGATAGAGCTGTCCATAATTTTTAACTGCAATACAGGATAAAAATCATAAAAACCTTCGCGTGAGGACTTATAACACTCCCCGGGCCCATTTGGTTTACTCTCGACGGTCGTTTGGTTTCGCGGACTTTGAGGGTCACACAAAATTGAGGACGCCGTCACAAAGTCTTGCCCCTTTGTTGCGACCGGCACACCCCACCACTTCTTAGTACCATTTAGATACTCTTTTAAAAAATTCTACATCTACGCTTTTATCTTTTAGAAAAAAAAATGGTATCAAGGGGCATTATTTTTTTATTTATTTATTTTTTTTAAATATTTTGGGTACCAATGCATAATTTTACAAAAAGACTTCTGAGATGAACTTTCAATGAAATAAAAAACTTACCGAATATATTTGTCAATTTGTGTAATTTTTTTTTAAATATATGTATGTTCAGTACAGCAGTTCTTCGAGGTGTCTTCGGCAAAGAATTGGATAGCTATTTAACTCTAATAGATTTTTGCCTTTGTGCTGCTACTTACTCAATGTGATTTTAAGTCGCTGTGAAGGGCCTTGCCACTGACTCTTGCATTTAATGTAAAGTCACGTGGGTGTATAATATGCAGTATGTATTGAAGGCATACCATTAAAGTTATAGTGTGCATTGTATTTAGGTATATATATATACATATATACCTAAATACAAGATGTGCAAACGTCATCGGAAAGGGCCATTTACCCTGCACAATTACTTGTTTTATATCTTTTTCTCTTGCTTAGGTTCGTTCGCTTTTAGAAAAGCCATGTGGATCAGAAAGGCTATTGGTTATAATTTAGTAACGTATTTCTTTAGATTTGGGAACTTAATACATAATACATAAATATTATAAACCCAAGCCGTCGAACGCTTAAAACCCGAAACACCGCGTCGGTTGTATTTTAACATTAGATGGTCGCGTTTCCTGCTATTCCGGCGCGTGAGCACGGTAACTAAGGGTCTAATATTGCTTTATTTATGTGGTTATGGAATCGAAATCTCACTCTGTCCTCACCTAAATTTAGGATTTGGGGCTGAGGGTGCAGAAGTAAAATGGCTTGAAAATTTGCAAGGATTAGACTACTGGGAACAGTTTTTCCTGTTATTTCAGATCGTGAAATATCGCCTTATTTCATGGTTTTGCAACAGAAATCCCACCAATGCCCATGTGAACCCCCATCAGCCATTCAATCAGGTAGTTGCAGTTGCATTCACAGGACACCAGAAATTTAACTTCCAAAAATATGATGAAACAATAAATAATAACGATGTCCTGAAACCTGTCGCACAATTAAGAGTGGCCCCAGACCACAAAAGTTATGGGATTTCAGCCAGTTTATTTTGCTGACTAGAAGGCAACAAGTTTTATTTGCCCAAAAATATATTAAATTTGTTATTCACACTGTACTTGTCTACTCCAAAAATCTGATTGCCCGAATGATGGGGCGGGGGTGGGTGCAGCTACACACGGTCCATACGCCTATGAAAAGGCAACATAAAATCTGTGGGGTATTACACCCCACCTCGGCAATTACACTTGGGATCTGCGCCAATTGACATAAGTGTGGGTTCCATTCATGATTTTATAATCTATATTTTCTAAGATGGTTGTTCAACTTTAATGGTTGGTATACAACAAAGTAGATCTCACTGTAATTTATATTAAATCGTTTTAAACAAATTGTATAACCATTTGAATTTTATTTATGGATCACATTTCAATCAAATTGTAACAATATATATGTAGATTCGTTTATCTCGGAAATGGGTTTGTTCAAAAGAGAAATTATATCTTTGTATAGTCCATTAAGAAAACGCTATTGATCACAATAAGTTGAGGAATAATACACGACTATTAATATTTAATCTATTACGTCTTTGTTATTATATAAAAAAAACCCCCCATTAAATAAAGAGTTCGGCGTTAAATGTCACTTTAATGTATGCTGTGCGCGTATTATTTCTATGAATACTATTTTTTTATATCCTATCTCCATATTAACCAAACAATATAACAAAGGAAAATAAACAAACGTGCCGAATATAGTTTCATTGCCAAAATATCAATTGAAAGGTTCAAACAATCTATTATCATGATATGACACAATGAACAGTAAAGAAAACCAGGCCAAATAATGTCGCCAAACAAATTATCGAAATTACTATGAAAAAAAGGATTGTACACTTACCTTCGTCGGTTTGTTTCTCAGGATTATATTCCACAGAATATTCAACTTGGAATACTTGTGATGAATGTTTTAACATGTGGAGCTTTATACCGTTTTCCCTTAAGTCCCAAAGTCTCGCCCTTAATATATAAACATAGATCAGGGTCCGTATTCAAAGGTTTTCTTTAAGTTAAGTAATAATAATTAGTTTCCCACTTAACCAAGTGTTTTACCTTAAATCGGTATTCAAAGGCTTTTATTTTACATATACTTGGCTATGTGAAAAACTTAACTGCACGCAAGTTATGTCCCCTTAAGAGCACCACTATACTCTATCAAAATCTTAATAGTCATTTCTAGGAAAATGTTTGTAGAAATATTATATTGTAACGCACGAAAATAGTATGACTATAATCTATGATAAATTATGAGCGTACGCATCGTATAGATGTTTTTCAAAATTAATAGATTTTCAATAGCAGTTATCGAATAGTGATAGTATAAGGATGGATATTGTAAACTTTATTAAATCGAAAAGTAAATAACATATTTACATAAGGATGGAAGGATGGATATTGTAAACTTTATTATATCGAAAAGTAAATAACATATTAGCAATACGCGGGGTTATTGGTTTTAAAGTTAAACTGAACAAATCATTCGGTGCTGTTTATCAATCTATCATTTGTGAAATTTATAAAAAAAAATGTGTCAGTTCCTAAACTTTAGAAACCCACAGACCTGGTCATGACGGTACACTGTAAATCATTGATGGCACGCTTCGGTCAGCAGTTATCATCATATTTTTGTAAATTTATTCAAAAGAAGACAAGAACATGTAGCAATCAAAACTTCAAATGTGTATATAGGAATGAATTGTAAAAAATAAACCATGCCTTGCTTCTCGCGGCCGTATTAATATTTTTTTTAAATCAAATCTACAATGGAATGTCTTTGCAATGTCAAATTTACAAATAAATTTAACGCATCAAACTTTATTATATTAAAGCAATACGAACATGATAGATGATCGTTTAAAAAAAAAACCTTGACCATTTCGGTGGTAGTAACCTTATACACTATTATAGCTGATGATGAAAAACAAAAACGTTTGATACCAGCTACGCCCATCGACATTGTCTTTGTTTCAATCTCAATTCCCTAACTTTTAAAATCGCCATAACGGCCCTGCTACTACATTGTGTACTCCGGTTAAAAGAGTCATTATAATCTGACTTAACTTTAAGGTACCTCCCATAGGTCACTTAAAGTTAAGTGGATTTTTCCCACTTAAACTGGCCTTTGAATACCACTAAAAGACCAAACACTTATAAGTTAAGGCATTCAATACTTAACACTGCATTTGAATACCACTTATCCTTACCTTACAGGAAGTTACGTATATTTATGTGAAATCTAGTAGTTAAGTGACTATCTTAGACTTAAAGGAGCTAAATCGCTAATATTTTGGACCTAGAAATTGGCACAAATGAGTCGCAACACATATAATAATGTAATATGAATTTATATAAACTGTTTTACTTTCAATCGTGTCCGTTTTACTGTGAATTGTCATCAGTTATGTTCGGCGAAATACGCCAGAAGTCTCAACCGCAAGTCAGTTTCTAGCGTCTGGTTATTCCAGTCAACACCGATATTATTTATTGCGCATGCTCAACAAATAAGAATATGATATCACCGTTTGACATGAATTGTGGAATATGACTAGCCTCATTCTTTGAGCACCTTGCTACAAATGGCGCTGAAACGCATTATGGTACACGATTCGTGTACCAATGGTAAAATTTTTATTTTGTCTTAAATATTGGATATCAGAAGCCCATCTTTTCCAGGTAAGATCACAACACCAATGCTGATTTAAATTGCAAAAAAATTCGTGTTTTCAACGTCGAAGATTTTGGATGATATTGAGTTACGGACTTAGCTACCTTAAGTTATCCTTTTAAATTAACCCATTAATCGTTTTCTGATTAATGTCTTGTTTATTTCGAAGAGTCCATTTAACACTGGATGCCTAGCGGCTACTGTCGCCCTGCGACCCATTCCAAATCCCTGGCACAACTTTTCAGCGACAGCCCATAGGGTAGGGAATGACGATATCCCCCCCCCCCTTCAAAATGGATGCGTATTGAGGACAGTAGGTTACTGATTATGAAAGAAGAGTTCAACCTTTGACTATATAAGTAGAATAATGCTGATCAGTCGGATATTGCGGGATGCACATTATGTCAACGATTTTCGTAATAGAATTCGTGTTACTCTGCTACGCACCGATGACTTCATTCGGCGTTTTACACGATCGATCCCATTGCTGGAGACACCCATGATACATTAAAATTGAACATCGAAGTTTATTCTAGTTATATCTTAGTTCTATGCCAGAAGCTGGACAAGATTTTTATGACTTTTTGTTCCACCCATCGGTGTTGTGGCTAAAAATATTTTTAAAAATTCAATAAAGTATACAAGTTGCCGGCTTCCTTTACGGAAAAGATATAATCAGATTTGAGAACCGAGAAAATGAAGTTTCGGTGCATTTAGACCAAAAAACTACAGGAAAAGTTTTGAGCTTCACCTGAGAAAACCTGAGATAAAGTTGTTTCGTACGCAAAAGAGTGGATTAATCTGTGATCTTTGAAGGTAAACAAAACGTCTAAGTTTCATTGTTGTTCTAGGTTTTATTTCGTCGTAAAGTTACCCAAGAAAGTGGGGATGATGTTTTATTAACAATGGCAGCTAAAAAGATGTATGGAAGTTTTTGTATTAATTGCTTTACATTTAATGTTGTTTTAGGTTTTATTTCGTCGTAAAGTTACCCAAGAAAGTGTGGATGATGTTTTATTAAGCACTGACAGTTAAACAGATGTATAAAAGTATTTTTAATTCATGGTTTTACATGTAAACTACTGGTGACTCTGTAATGTATCATCATGTAAACATTTATTTTAAGCATGTTTACACATTAATTTTGTAATTTATTTTAGGGAGCCTAAATGGTGCAAAAAATAGTTATGGCTATTTATGGCTATCATAGCAGATGTTATGAGCGTTTTACAGACACCATCCCCCAAGAAGCGCCTTACATATCACCATGCAGCTGCTACAGTTTCAGGCCAGAGTTCACGCACAGTAAATGTCTTGCCAGTCATTTGCATTATTTGTCAGAGTTGCAGGAAAATATATGACAGACAAGCTTGTTCAGACCAAGACAACTGATGCAGGTACGCATATTTAAGTGCTAGATATGATTGCAAAGTAACATGCAATGACAAGGAAACATGGATTACCTACGGTTCCAGCAATGGGTGGTTCCAGCAATGGGATTGATCGTGTAAAACGCCGAATGAAGTCATCGGTGCGTAGCAGAGAAACTCGAATTCTATTACGAAAATCGTTGACATAAATGTGCATCCCATATCCGACTGATCCGCATTATTCTACTTT